GTAGTACGTACGTACGTCTACTACTACGTACTACTATCTACTACACACACACACACACACACACACACACACACACACACACACACACACACACACACACACACACACACACACACACACACACACACACACACACACAAAGGGGATTTATGCTTAGTATTAATTCATAATATGCATGTGAACGAGTAAGGATTTCTTGGAAGAACACTCAATTATTTTCAGATGTAGGCTATTACTGGAAGCTCATTTTTTTCAAGAACGACTTGATGAAATCATATATTTCCCTTCCTTGCTGCTTTCATGCACACTTTGTTGTAAACCATATGCGGTAAGAATGTTTTTATTGCAATAAACACAAATGGCCACGTTTATTTACATGCAGACCTGGATCTCTTATTGTACAGTGTGGGCCTGTCTGAGGCTCAAGTGTCCTTACACAGTGTCCTTATGATTCCATCCAATTTGTTGACTAGACTTTATAAACAAAGATATTAAGTGCTGTCCTCCAAGTGCAGGAGCGGTGAAAGCTTTCTGAATGTCTGCTGTTTAATGAAGGGCTTTTAGGACACTTGATTCATCAGGTCCAAATATGATGCAACTTTCCCTCAGCTGAGTCTCCATCATGCTTCCTCTGGCCGCCAAGGCACAAACACATGCTGTGGAAATGTTTGAGGAAAAGTGACACTCAGATGCTTCATCTAGATATTTGATGTCCTCTGTGAGATGCAGAAAGTCAGCATTGTATAGCAATCTGTCTCTTGTGTATTCCACTCAAGTTCCAACTCCTCACCAGCTGCTACCAACAAAAATCAAGCGGTATCTTGTGCCAAGCGGGACTGATTAGTATTCACATCATTCACTTGCCAGCTTCACCACATCACAAACATTTTTGCCACAAAGTAATGTGGCGACCATTCAATCATCTAATCCCCCTGCTCTTCCAATCGATTGATTTCCAGGGCTCTGTTGAATGGATTTGACTTTAATCTTCAGCTCTCATGCTCATTACATGGTTAATATAAGGTTTGTTTCATGTTTGGGGAAAAACGTAATTGTACTTGCCTATCTTTTGAACCTCCTTTTAATGTCCACGACTGAAAGCTCTATGCGACTAGATCAATCAATGTTAATTTGCAACCCTGTAGTACTAAGTCTTTTAAGGAATCTTGCAGGAAACTATTGAAGTTAATGTCAGCCAGGATATCATATATGATGTGTTCCCAGGAGATTGAAATTCTTTACATCAATATTCCACCCATATCTATTTTAAGCACTTAATCAAAACCATACCTATACAAGTAAAAATCACAGCCCAAGGGTTTAACTTTTGAGGGAATCTAATCAGACACACAGCCATGTGTCCATGATGTTTTTAATTAGATAAGGATGACACTGCTTGCTCTAATAACTGATGCTCCCCCCTGAAATTCACCAGAAGCAAATTCCCCACCAAGATGGATATCAGAAATCAGGAAGAGAGGAGAACTAGTCTGTGCCAGAGGATTAAGAGGAAAGGATGCATGGACTATCTCTCTGGCTCCCAACAATGTACTGGTCTGGTGTATTGCGAAGGCTGGGAGAAATGTGATTGGTTGAGCAGATGAAATGCCTGAGCAGCCATCAGCGGCATGCACTATCGCTCTTTGTAGAGAGCTGTTTGCTCCGTAAGGACTGTTTATGCTTTGGGAGCCTTCCTGTGATAAAACTACACTGGTACATCTCCTTTTTATGATGAGTGCACAGGAAAAACCTCTGAGTGTAAGATGTCAAGCTGTAAAAATGATAAAAAAATCCTCCACCGTGTTTTGGGACATTGGCCCGTTTGTCAGCTCGCCCACTTTGTGACAAGAACATTAGTTTCTTCTGTGTCCCTCCGGATTCTTCACACACATTTCTTCACTCAATGCGAGCACTTGCTCAGTCAGCAGAGTGATAAAAGGTGTCTGGAAATGCCTAGGTGTGGAAAATTGAGAATTTAGCCGCTTCATAGCTAAATCTAAACACCAGTCTGTCACAGTTAGAACTGTTTTGTCGGATGTAATGTATAACTGTCCTTTGGAACAATAGAATAAATAAATTGTGTGCCAAATGTAGTCGTTTGCGATAATTATACTTAAACAATATCAGAAAAGCCAGGTTTTTTAGGCTGTATGCCCAGAGATGCTTTGAGCTGAACGCTAATGTGAGCATGCTAACATGTGGATGCTTAGCATTGTACTATATTTGTGAAGTGTGAACGCATGCTAACATTTCATAATAGGTGCTGTAGATCGCACGAGAAGAAACATTAAATTACATTATATGTTACTTGTTAGACGCTTTTGTCCAAAGCAACTTACATACTCAATACTGTGAACAATCCCCACAGGAGCAATTTGGGGTGAAGTGTCTTGCCCAGGGCAGGGACACAACAACATGCTGACTGCAGTGGGACTCAAACTTGCTATCCCCTGATTTGAGGTCCAGCACACTATCCACTGAGCCACAGCCTTCCCTAAATAATTAGACAAGATTGATTAGGGAATTTCTAAAAAAATAGCCAAAATCTGCAGGATTCATCTTTTGGGGACCATGAGTCCCTGTGCAAAAGTGAATTGCAAATTGGTTGAGTGAGCGACTGACAGACAGTGATATCCTTTCAGCCAAGCTGCTAGCTTTTCTAAAACCAGACCTCATGAAAATATCTCTATCCATTTCAATATTAAGGGCAGGAGAAGCTAATAGGGGCATCAAATATGGGTCTGAATGTATTTCAAAATCTGTTTCTCAGACACTGGTGATTAGGCACTTAAGCAGTCTGGTTTTATTATTCACACCTGTTTACACAGGCCAGTGTTAACTGTAACATCTAGTCACTCACTCACATCACACTGCTAACACTAATGATGTACAGGGTATACATTGATGATTTCTAGTTACTATGCTGTCTTTTTACAATTTATTCTTCCACCTTCTATTTGAAACCTAATGTCACTTCACATTTGGATTTACTTTCTATTCAGATGAAGGGAGATGACACTTATGCAGAGACGCGTGCGGGGAGGTATAGTTGCAGAGGGAGGCCAAGGTCTTTATTGATTAATGTAACACCTTCACTGCTGTGATGTTTATTGATGTGACACTAACGAAAGAGGTGTGAGCTGCTGAAGAACTGGATACTAGGAGGCAACAAGTAGCTTATATGATAACTGGCTGTATATCTGTGTGTATCGCTAACGAGGGGAAGAAAGTATCTGTTTGGGAGATTTATTTGTCGCCTTTGATGCTCACTCATCAGAAATAACATCCTCCCCCCCCCCGTCAGACAATGACAGCCACGTGCTTGGGGTGTTCAGTGTGTGAACTGTGATTGGGTGAGTGAAAATGGTTGGATGATGAGTTACCAGGGCAGAGCTGCGTGGCAGGGTTGGCTGAACGTGGGCGTGAGGAATTACACTGCAGTGAGGGAAGTGGGTCTAATCCACGCTACTATTTCAAACACAGTTTCTCTCTACAATAAACAATCAGGGGGAGAGTGTGTATGAGCTAGCCTGTGATCGGCTTTCTGTGATTGTGTGTGTATGCGTTTGATAGGGACAGAAGCAGTTGGAAGCAGCCTGTGATTATCTTGTATTCAAAGCGGATCTGCCATGCTGCTGTGCATAATGACAAACTTTAGCCGAGAAGGGGACATGAAACTGGTTCACACAGTTTCTGTGTAATGACAAAGACCAAAGCTGTTTGAACGCTGTGCTAAAAGATTTATTTATAAGTGTAATTTTTTGTGTCCCATACTGTGTGTCATTGTAATAAATCATTCAGGTTGTTTTTACCAGTTGTTTCCTATCTTCTTATTAAGGTTGTCCATTACTTACCCAAAACAAATGAAGCCATGCCGTGAGGCTATGAATGCATCATGTATACCTGGTACCTGAGGTTGACATTCCCCTTGAAAGCACATATTCTGAAGTCTTAGACCTGGATTTAGCCAGGAAACTGTGTCTCTCTCAGCACAGCTATCCTTCTTGAGACGGAAATATCATCATCTAGAACAAGGTCGCACACTATGACGGTGGCCATGAAGAAAGACAGGTTGTTAAAAGAGAACCTAGTATTTGAGGGGGGGCAAGGCGCTAGGACAGGATTCGAAAGTTGAAATTACAGGCTTAAATATTGCATGTACATGGATTTTGTTTTGATTCAAACTGCAAAGTGGGGGTGTATATATCTGTTGTTGTGTTTTCCCAATTACTTCTGCACTTCCTTTTCTTCTGCTGCTTCGTACACAGGTGTGATTGGCATCGTTCAGGAGTGAAGATGGTGGAATAACAGATATTTAGAGAAAAGCAGTACAATTCATTCCATTTTTAGACCCATGTACACCTTACCACTCTTTAGTTTAGGCGTTGTTACTGTTTGACTGTTGGTTTAAGACCAATACAAAAGTTGAGTAATGCAAACCCTACCAGCAAAGCCTTTTCACCAAAGTGAGATTATAGATTTTTTTGACTTTACTGGATTACCTTCATTGAAATTGAAATGCTCTCCACTTGGTGAATCATTTAAAACGGTCCGTACTAAAGTATGTCATGGCCACAGGTTGTATTTATGATCATATTCCCAGCAGGATTCATCTTTTGTTGTTCGGTCTTGATATCTAAACAGGCTGCAGCATATATGTCAGCCTAGGCCCATACAGCTCTGAGGGAGGGAGGGAGGAGGAGCTTTATGTTTGCATGAAATAAGAGCTTTATTATTGAATGATGTCTACTCAAACACTCCATATGGAGCATTGATTTTTGGACATCTATGTTGGCTACATAAGAACAATTGGAGGTTGGTATGTGGATCGAAGATTTGAAAATGATGGGCTTTTACGGGTCTGCTGAGACAACTTGTCTACATCTGGTCTGTTGCTTGAAAAATATTGTCAGTGCAGGGGCGCGTGTTCAACGTTTTGCGTTTTGCATGGAATTGTGAATCATTTTTTAAATGTATAAATAATTGATTTAGAGAGAAACATCAGCAAGCTCAACTGAACCAAAATGTTTCTTTTTGGGGAAGCTGCATTTTTTGCTTAAGATAGTTATAGTAAGAAATGCATTTAGTAGAGAACTGAAAGAATAGTGCAATAATTCTCTTGACAGGTACTGTCATGAAATTACAGGGGGTCAATAATACATAGGACTAGAACATACATCACAATCAGGTTATGACCCCTGGTAAACTTCGGCTCTCAATCTGCCTCATTTCAAACATCGGCCTCCCTCCTCCATTGGATGTGGTATCCCTCTGGCTTGACTCAGGATTATAATGCTCTCGGCTAATGTTCAAATCGAACCAAACAGGAATACTTTTAGGCACGCACACTGACTGATGATTCGATTAGCTGTAATTGAGACATGTGCTCTAGCCGGAGCTGTTATTCCACTACTCAGCTGCTCTGATGGAGAGAGCATAGCGAAAGACTGTCACGCTGCACCGAAGACACATTAACATTTCATCCTCTTCATGATGTTAATATTTAAATTAGCGTCTCATTTAGAGTTACATAGATTATGAAGCAGGAAATGCTTTTAGGGGAAGGCTACCCTTTGATTGACATGTACCGTGATGCTCTCCAGTCTGGCTGTTCTCTGTGTTTTTGTCTTACAACTTTAACCTTTTAACAGTTAACCTTCAGTTCATTACGTTAATTGTTGCATTTCAGTCGCCTAAACATTTCTTGTTCAGTGTTTGGTTAAACTTTGTGTCACCCTTTCCTGCCACTTCTGGATGCAAAAAAATGGTGACAATTAGAAAGCTCGAGGCCTCAAAACCTTCCGGAAACCAATTGGTTGCATCACAATGATGACGTCCTATTTTTCTATACAGTCTAAGAGAGTGTGAATAACCTGAATTGACCCGGAGGGAGTTGTGTGAAGTCTGATATATTTCCTCAAGTGGTGTCACTTAAAGCAGCGTCTGTTGCACTTAAGCTAGTAACAACACTGTTTATGAGCACAGGCTATATATCAATGCCGGTAGTTTGTCTTTAGATTATAATATAGAATTACAATCTCCTACCAGAGGCTAAAAACTGTACTGAATTACAATCAAGGCCATGAGTCAGACTGACTCACACAATAACACCATTCTATGCACCCAAAGCTACAATATTGTATTAGCTGTTCTTCATCAGTGTAATCTGATGAAGGAAATTGTCTAATGGAGATTTACAGGAAGCATATGCACACACTTTCATAGAGTTTTGTTTCTCTTGCTCTGCCTATGTGTGCCTTACAAACGCACACACACAAACTGAAATAGACAAACTGTTTTCATATCTTGTTCCCAGACGTGTGGAGCTGTAAACAGCATGTCCCTGTAAAGTGATTATGTTTGGCGCTGAGCACAGAGCAAGCGCAGACAGGCAGACAGGCAGGGAGGCAGAGCGTGTGCACACGGAGGGTCTGTGGCCTACTGATTATCTGTCTGCTTGTCTGTCTGTGTTGATCCATTCTCTCCCCTGCGACACGGCCACGCCCTGACACTGCTCACCCGCTGCCACTGCATGCATCATCATCTGTTCACAGAGCCAGAGGAAAACGTCAGGAAAGATGCATTTATCTAGCCAATCAATGCTTGATGGCCGCAGAGAGCAGAGCTTACAGGCTTTGTAGCTCATGTGACATGTCATTGTCTGATTGTTCTGCTGTTGAATTGCAGCAACCATCAATTGTTGAAGACTGTTTGGTCTATGCAGCGGACAAAATACAAGCATGGCCCGTTATGTCAATACACAGGAGGTTACATGCAATTTTACATTTTTGGATGTTGTAGGCCTTGTGTGCTTAGCGCAGGCCTGTGGCACCATCAATCGGTCCAACGATCAGACTCCATCAGATTAAGGGCCCTGAAGATAGGCTGTTGATAGATGATAACGCTTTGTAAACTGTCTTGTTTTATCTATATCACAATAGCCCCCCTGCCATAAGAAAATGTCATATGCGCACAGTAGTCCTCAAGGTATTGCCGTGGGCATTCTGAAAGAGGCAAGGCTTATCTTGTTAAACCCTGTGATGCACACGCTGCTCTGTTAGATGTGTCTCTGCAAAGGATATGCGTTGTATCACTAAAGGAATACATCACCCTTTAAATTACTCTTCATCACTCTGTCTGTGTTACCTTGAACTATTCATAAAATATTATTCTTGCATGCTTCCACTTAGAAAATTCTTGATGAATTGAAAAACAGCAATATATATATAAATATATATATATTCTCCAATTTATATTAAAAGTCAGTTTTCACAATCAATGAATCAACTAAAAACTCGCTGACACTTTTGCTGAAATCTAACTATTTAGAAGACTTTCGCATGAACAGTCTCACACCTGCACAGGTTGTGTGAGGGTTTATAAACAACTACTTAATTCCTCAATACTTTTTTGATTCTTTGTTCACCGTGAAGGCATGTGAGGAAAACATTTTTCATAGGTTAGGGTTATAAAGTAATCCATTAAAGGGAACATACAAGTATCTCAGCTATCAATGTGTTGTTTCCATATGAGGTGATATTGCATTTCATGAGTCACCCTCTTTCCCGATGGTATACAGATTGGAGCCGAGTGTTGTGTTTATGAGTCCGAGATATTACATGTGCTGCCCTGCAGGCATATTGGACATTTGTTATTGCTCCCAAGTATGCCGCTGCATTCTTGCTTATCTATTGTTTATACTTAGTGTGCCCTCTTTCTTTCTGTCAATGTGTGTGTGTGCAGCTCCAGAGACTAAAACGCTCGCTGTCCTTCAAGACCATCATGCGGAGCAAAAGCGTGGAGAATTTCTTCCAAAGGTCCTACAGCGACGCTCGCCTGCCCCCAGACTTCATCACGGACCCACCTCCTCCTTCCCCCCCACTGCTGCCTGGCTCCCCTCTCGTTGGCCACCGCTCCCCATCCGTGTCACCATCCCTCAGCCCCAACCCCTCCATCTCCTCCCATTCCCCAAATCTCAGTCTTTCACCATCACTGTCCATAAAGCCTCCCCAACCTCAGATCACCCACTGTTTCCAGGACCATGTCTTTCGCAAGTCCACCAACTGCCAGCACTGCAAGCACATGATAGTGGGTAAGACCTCCGCTCTTCACCAAGCCAACTCATATCTGCAGTTTTCACAGGATTTCTGCCATCCATGTCTTCATATTTACAGTATGTTGCATCCCATGTAGTGCAACCTGGACACCTATTATGCTTGAGGCATTTATCATTGTTTTATCATGTCTTTATTACTACCGAAGGATTTGAGTCTGCAACACCTAAGAGCAAAAGTCAGATGTTTGTGGAAATGCATACATTAACCATGTCAAAATCCTCCACAGATAAGATAAGATAAGATACGAGACACTTAATTTATCCCAAATTGTGAAATGTTTGCGTTGCAGCAGCATAAAAAACTGCAAAAACAAAAGAAGGCATTGCACATAGGTAGAAATTAAAGAGTAGAAATAAACAATTCTAGAATTTAAACATCTCAAAATAGTATTAAAACAGCATTAAAAAGTAGAAAATATACAGTAGGCCGGGAAGATATAAAATCTATAAACTCTGACAATAGACAGAATATAAAGCAGTATATCATTCACATTAACTGTGTAGGGAATGGAATATAAAATTAAATATGAACATAAAATGTAGTGTGTCCAGTTATCCAAAGAGAAGCTATGGAGCAGTGGGTTCTCTGCAGCCAGATGTGATTTGTTATAGAAAGATGGCAGCATGAAGGTAATAGTCACTTGGTTTTAAAGACACATTTTAAATAACCTCACCTCAATACCAGATTATTTTTTAACAGTCCACATTGGAACATTAGTCTTCATGCTGCTTTCTTACACTTTCTATCTGAAGCAGTGCGCCTGCTGTGCTGCAGATATGTGAATGCTCTTATCCCTAATTGCCTATATGAACTCCTAGCTGCAACTCCTTTGCTAAATCCACTTGATGTCACTATGATTAATTTCAGCCTCCAACCTGCTCCTCTGAAGGCTTTTTTGCAAGCAACGTGATTTGTTTCTCTCTAATGCATCACCTTGCCCCTGCAGGCCATTCAAAGCAGAACCAGTAGTTTAATTGTTCCATCCAATTTGGTTGTTTGCAACCCGTCGATGCCTTCCCCCGAAAAATCTATTACTCTATGTTTTTAGGACGAAGAGTCACTCACCTCCTAATCGTTTAAAAGCATTCAACGCTCAACAAAGGAGCTATCATTGCATAACATCTCAATGCTAAATATTTCTATCACTGAAGCACCTGAAAACAAATGTAAAAAAGCAACGGGCCAAGTCAATTATGATTGAAATATCTCCAGCTGGTTTCCAATCTCTCCAGGTTGTTTTTGAAGGGGAGCTGTTGATTGTGAAGCTGTTAGTGTCACTGCCAGCTTAATACAACTGGGAAAACTCTTGATTAAACTCTCTACCTGAGCGCAGGAAACATGTACATATGATCTGAAGGAAACTTTGGTTTGTTAGGACTGCAGCCTGCTGTCTGTTTCTTTTGTGTGGCAGTCTGCGTCATTCTCTCATCTCTGTCCCTCTCTGCAGGAAACTCCAAACAGGCCCTGCGGTGTAAAACCTGCAAGATGGCTGCTCACCTGTGGTGCACCTCTGAACTCTCGCAGCAGCTGTGTCATGGGAAGGTGCGAATACACTCACAGAATTTTGATGATATCATTCCCTTTATATATATATATATATATTACATTTTATTTTTTCAAAAACATATATAAATATCTTGGTTTGCTCAGTGTTTTTTTCAGTTTTCTGTGAACCAATCTGTGATTCTGTGTTCATTTATTTGTCAACTTTTTTGGAGCAGCAAACAAAAACCTCTCAAACGAAGAATTTCAGGATTAAATAAACAACCCATGTTGAGTGGCGGGCTTTAGGACTATGCAGATTGTGTTACCGTCGTAAGAAAAGGTTATCTGGGTGTTTCTATTCTTTGTGCTGAGCTAAGCTAACCCGCTGCCGGCTGCAATATTCATATTCAACAACAAGAGTGGTTTCGATATTAAATGCTTTTTAACAACAAACATTAGCTTAGATTCTGCTAAGAAAAATATCCTTGGCAGGTCAAATAAAGGACACCACATAATATAGTGTGCGTTCGCCGTTCAGTAACAGTTTATCATGTTTTTTTGAGATTATGATTACTCAGTTTGCTCTTTTTTTTGCAGATAATACATTTCTCCTCCCTAATCCAGTTTTTTGTTCCTCCAATCTCTCTCCCTGACATTTTTTTTTAGGTTGGATTAAAAACACAGCAGCAACAATAACAGTTCAGATTACATCATGATTTAAATAACCTGAGCAGGGACATTGTTACCATGGTAACTTTACTATGAAACTGAACTGCTTTATTACGCAATTTCACCTGCATTCGCAAATAATTAAATATATTAGTGGAACAGTGTTTCGAACTGTGCATGGATAAAATAAAAAAAACACTGTTGATGTGAGGAGAGTAGGCTTCAAATTGGAATGAATTTCAGACAGAGCTTTTGGGTTTGTCCTCTAGTGCAGGCTAGAGGACATTAGCTTGGAGAAAGAGGCGAGACCTTCTGAGAGCCACTTGGAAAATGTAAGAGCACTGTGTCCAAATCGACTCAGAGCATTTTGATAGAAATGCACAGAGAGGGAGAGCCAGGGGAACGATGAGGGCAGCAAAAGGTACAACATTATCACACAACAACCAGGTTTTTGTAACAGGAGCGCTGGTGTTAGTGTGTTCCTCTCTTCAGCATTATATGATAAACTGGGTGGCTCATTTGCAAGTCAATGCAAAGACAAACTGATACCTCAGCCGAGTCACTTACTGGGCTTAATTCAGTGTGAAATTGTACCCACGCAGACACACGCAGCATAACATGTCCCTGCTTGTGTTAAAGTATTTTGCATATTTTCGGTGGTTGATTGAATGTATTGTTCATTATAAGCAGAAAATAGAACCTCAGTCATTTCAAAGGACTCCTTAAATGTCCCAATGTCACTACATAGATCATCAGCTCAGTCTATAAACAAGAATTAAAAATCATTCTTTTTTACCTAGTTCTTGTGATAAGAATAGCGATCATCAAACAAATTACAAGGAAATGGCTAAAAAAATAATAACTTAGTAAATGAGTAAACTCACAATGGAATAACCTACTAAATGAAATCTATGTAATGGAGGAAACAACTATGAGAATTAGAAACCAAATGCATATCTTTGAGGAAAGGTGGGAACACTTGGTAAAGTATAGAACACTATAATAAAGATTTATAAGGAACATGAGGTAAGAATTGATAATTAATGTATACCTGAGTATTAATAGTGTATCCATTCTTTTATTTGTATTATTATTATTATTATTATTATTATTATTATTATTACTATTATTATTATTTCATTTTGTTATGTATGCTTTGTGAATAATTTCTTAAAATGCAAATAATTTTTTTGTTTTAAATCCTTCTTTCTGCTCTCCTCCGTTAGTCTGGAGCGTTCAAGCGAAACTTCAGCTCACCACTGCTGGTCAACGATCAATTGTCTGTCGTCAAGGAAGTTCAACCGAGCCAAGGTGAGCATACCTGAAAGACCGTGTGTGTGTATGTTCACGAGTGACTGCTTTGTTATGTACGTGCTTTTGTTTTGTGATGTTGCTGCTGTCTAGCCTTTTGGTTTATTTGTAGATGTTTGTGTGCTTGTGCATGCACTGTAATAAAACCAGAACTGTCTCCATCTCACCTGACGGCCGAGGAGCATGAAGTGGGAAAATGTAAAGAGGAAGAACAAATTCAGCTTCTCTTGGTGGCTGACGGACGCACCCTGAAAGTATGTGAATAAATATTCATACATTTTTATATTTCTGTTTATGCTTTGTATTGTTACTCCTTGCACTTCAGTTTCATTTGGTTTTAACCTGCCTCAGCATTATAACTCTTCAAAAGATGATGTACATTTTATTTAGTTTACAATAATGGAAGCAAACAAATTGGACACTTTCTCGTTTCTCTTTGTCAAGTAAACCTGCTGAAGGTTAAAACGCAGGGACAAGCACACACTGAATTTGTTCTTCTTTTCATCATCATCTTTAAATAAGAACTTTTTTTTCCTTGCCTATACCTTTGGAATATATTATATTATATATTATTATAATATATATATATATATACCTCCCAGACTGTATAACTCATTGAATCAGACATGACACCTCATGCTGTCACTACCTTGCACTTTCCATAAAGCAGGGAACAATTAACCCACAGCTCTGTCACCCCCCTGAGCGGAGCAGCATGACGCCTGGGACTCCTCCAGCTGAGGCTGCAACCTGCCAAACTCACAATCACACATTTCAAAGTGTTCTCGTAATTATGCTCACTAAAGGCCTGGTGAAATGCTGAACCCGCATAAGATTTAGTTACAGATCGTGTAATTTCCCATCAACTGCCTTTTGGCAAAGCAGTGTCATACTGAACCATATTTATGAGTGTGAGAGGAATAGCTGCAGGAGCAAAGTACAGTTGCAATCTCTAAATGACAATTAAAATCGTATTAGCTACCAATTGAAATGTGTGCAAGGATTCTTCATTAAAAAAACACAGCTGTGTTGGGTTGATATATATATATATATATATATATATATACAACGTAAGGTGAAAGAATTTTTTGGACCAAACGAAAGACAACCCCAAAATGTGGGCTCAAATATGAGTCACTTGTCAAACCCTGGTTGTTATTCAGTGTATAGCTTATAGTCTGTCAAAGTAATTACGTCACAAAAGCCTATAAGGTTGAAAAAGGTATCTATGAAAAATAGATATGAAGCCATGTCACACATAATTCTCCTTTCTGCACTGAAAGGAAAGCTGAAGGTCACTTGCTTGGTGAAAATAATGATTAGTCTCAGTAAGACTTTCTGCTCTTTACTCTCTTCCTCTGCATGCTCTAACGTGCAGAACTGCCATCGTCACTGAAAAGACTCCAACCTATTTAAAGCACAGGTAAACCGTATCACCTGTAATTACCTACAGTAGGTGGACTGAAGGCACTTCTGTTTAATTTATCCCCAAGAGCTTTAAGGGTGCTGACGTCGATATATGGAACTGCAAATCATGATGTCTTCATCCTGCAGACTGCCAGAGCGCCTAGCCCTGGAGGAAAGTCATCATTTGAATCGTTTAGATATGGATGGAAAAAGGAGCAGAAAACCTAATACCTCACTTCAGTAATACTCTCATGGCACCAAGAGCTGCCATCCACATGAAATGAAGGACTTTTTTAGGATTTCCATATTTTTTTAATCTTATCTCTTATTCCACTTCTCCCCAACTGCAGCTCACCTTATATAACCTCAAATTAACTATTAGAGACTAAAACACATTTACTGACATCAAGTAAGTGTATTAAATAAATCAAAGTGCGTAAAGTTTTGTAAAGTCTTGATCTCATTCACTTTTGGCTGCTGTTCTCTGTCAGATCTAAAGTGGGTCGGTTTGGCCCAGGACTCTACTTATATTCTAGTTATATTTAGACCCTCTGGTTCCTCCAGATTGGCACTCAGTGTAGCCCAAGATGTGCGTGGAGCTGTATCTTTGCGTGAATAATTTCAATGTGTTCTTAAAGAAAGTGAATATAACTGTGCATGAGTTTATGAATGTGTGTTTGTGTGTTTCAGAGGCAGCGAGGATGCGCGTGGACCCTGTGTACGCCGCCCTGCGCTTCGGGACGTCCTTGGCGCATATGAGTCGCTCCAGTTTTGGCAGTTTGTCAGAGTCACCAACACGCAGCCTGGTATGACATCATCGCCCTGTGTTGGGGTTGAGGACAGTATGATCCGTGTGATTAGGACGTTTTTACGAGATCAGTCCATTTGTTAACTCACTGGTGAATTATGGAGACCCTAGATACCGCAGTGCAGAGATGTCTACACGCCCAAGTTCATAATTCTTCCATAGTTTCTAAAAACTTTGCAAATCATCGAAAAATATCAATAGATGGAAAGATTGTTACCTCTTTGGCTTTTGGCCTCATCTAACAAATGACTGTAAAACAAATTAGATATTGATTTGATAGATAGATAGATAGATAGATAGATAGATAGATAGATAGATAGATAGATAGATAGATAGATAGATAGATAGATTAATAGATAGATACTTTATTGACCCCAATTTGGGAAATTATTTCGTCGCAGAAGTTTGTTCAGACATGAAAATACAATGCTTAAAATACTTAAAAAAGTGGAAAAGATAATTAACAATTACAAATAAAATGAAAACATTTAAAATATTTTATCAAATACAAACAATATAAATAAAACAATATACAATATTTTGGAAATCTATCGAAAATGAGGAAAAATAATTCCCTAAAATTGTAAAACGGTTGCTTAAAAACAAGGATTTTCAAAAGATTCCTTACTTTTAGGGTCATGCTAGTCCCCTACTTGAAATCAAACCCATCGAACATTAGTTTCAACAGTGATTATGGCATGTATGCAGATCTGTTTATAACACCAAGTACTACTGATCTGTCTTTTGTGCTTCTGACACATTTCTACGCCCACTGTCAAATGTATACTCTTTGATATCCTGGTGTTAACTTTTGATTTGTTTGTCCTTCTTTGACAAGGGGGAGGGAGGTGAGGAGATGCAGCAGAGACAGTACAGCATGGATGAAGAGATTACTCAGGAGACAGGGGGTAAACACTGCTGTGTGTCTGTGGATCGGCATATGTGCTGTGTATCCATGCTTTTGTGTGTCTATTATTATGCTGTGTTTACTGTGCATGCCTTTCTGTGTGTGAGAGAGACTTACTTGTTCAAAAGGACACGCCTGATTGCATATATGTGAATGCCTGACAACTTCTAAGAAAATTCCTCGCCGCCCTCAGACAACCCTTTCCCCGACACTGAGATGGAGGAGGAGGAGGAGAGCGGCAGCCAGCTGAATCTCGCAGAAGCTCCGGACCCTGCAGAGGAGAACAATGTGATGGTACACTCTCTTTTATCCCACTGTGCAGACTGTCACATCTTGTTGTTTTCCTCCCTGGAGCGTGTATTTCTGTATCACGACATCTTCGTCCCTTTGTCCAGGTGCCCAAGCGCATTGAAGTTCACTCCATCCACACCTACGTAGCGCTCTACAAGTTTCTGCCTCAAGAACAGAATGACCTGGAACTCCAGTGAGTAGAAGTCACATTGACTACATACAGGAACCTTTGTATTTTTTTAATACAAATGCCACAGCGCTTGTTTCGTGTTTTTTTGTTAGTGGTTGCATTTTTGCCCCAGCTGTTGTTCCTGCAGGATAACATGTCTCCACCATCTGTAGAGGACAGGGCCGGGGTGCCCTTAAGGACGGCTAATTATAAACCGGCAGCCCATCCCTGTCCCTTTACAGGGCTGTAGTCTGAGCTGTGTTCCCATCAGGGGAGAGGATGGAGAAACTCAACAACTGAGAAATGAAAGAGCGGACAGACACAAGGGGAATAGGCATGAAGCTGAAGTCTATTGTAGGCAGAGAGAGAGAGAATGGGAAAATAGGCAGCGAAAAGTGCAGCTATAGAAGTTAAAGCTTTATAAAGGAAGGGTGAAGAAAGGAAGGACAGAGCAGTAAAAAGAAGGACAGGATGTATGTGTATGAATGGTTAGGGGACAATGGAGGGACATCAATGAGACTGTTGTCAGCCATCTGCGCCGTGGCTATGTGTCTGTAACTGCACAATATATGTGGGCTAATGAAATCGCAGTGTGTCTCTGTGCTTCAGTCAGGGATTTTAGCAGCATGTACTGCACTCAAATTAGATATGTAAGAGCTTTACTTCTAATTAATTATTTTCCCACATTGCACATTTACCCAAAGCCATCATGTTCAAATACAGATTCTGAGTGATAAGCATGCATTGGTGTGGCCTGAAAATGATATTTTAAGAGAAGACTGCACTGGACAAATTCAAAAAGATCTATGGTTGGGTCATTTAAAATGATTAGTGTAATTTCAGGCCAATCTTCCTATTTTTTCTACATAAGTCTAGACCTTGCTTATGTTCAAGCCTTCAATATAAATGTGAAATACGATTAGTAAGATTGCGAAATGACATTCATTTAAATTACAACATGTTCCCCTATCCATTATTGGAGAATAATTAAATGTGCTCTTTCTGACACAAATGAGCAAATCTGCCAGTTCCAAAGACATGTATTTAACTAGGCCGATCCCACTGCTCAGCATACACATTTTAATTGTGTGTTTCTTTTAAATAGCTGTGAAAAACATTAGCGTAACAAATAATTGTTTCATAAAACATGGTCAGTATAAGTTTGAGATATATGGGTCTTACCCTACTTTGAGTTGATGTAAGTGTGCAAACTAAAGTGTGTGTGTGTTGCGGTGATAATAGAGGGCAGAGAGCAGACACCCAGGAGACTGTATGTACAGAAATGCATTCCGAAAAGTAGTTTCAGTGAAACTAGGACAACTTGTACTCCTTTTTGGGGTGGAGGGTTGGTTTAAAAAAAAAAAAAATCTGGTAGTGACATTAGCATTCAGGCCAGGTTAGCAGATTTGGTCCGGCCTTTCCCTCTGCAGTAGACACTACTTAGTCATATTTCATGGAGACCTGATGACTTGGTATCTGCTGCTGTGTAAACTCTGCCGAGCGACACCACTTTAACCACTTTGTAACCATGGGTACAACAGCTTCCTCTGGCAGTTTAATAATATGGTCTTGAGCCCTTGTACTCAACCCTTTTTTTCTTTCTTGATGTGCTTGCTGCTCTCACCCTCTAACCTCCTTCTCCCCATCATGTATCCAACTTCCCCCCCCTCAATCCCCTCCCCTTTATGCCTCCTTTACTGTCTCTCATGTCCTATCTCCTCTAGACCTGGTGATCGTGTGCAGGTCACTGACGACTCTGGTGAGGAGTGGTGGAAGGTGGGTATTAATTCACTTGCAGGCGTATTTGTGTGTGTGCTTGTTGGCGGGTATCTGTGTAGATAGTGTGTGTTTGAGAGCGTAGACATTTGTGTACGTGCATTTATTGTGCGCATGTGTTCATTTGAGGCTTTAAAACAACTATTGCTTGACGCCTGCTTCATTTCTTCCATAAACATGCAGGCAGCCACAGACAGAAATAGAACATCATTTCCTCTGAAAATTACAGAGTTTAACATAATGAACCTGACAAGTGTTGCAACCTCAAAAAGGTCTTTATTGAGTCGGTAATGAGCATTCCTCGCTCCTGATGAAAACAAAAGTGCTTCTGTAAGTGTAGGTTTTCCATCACAGAAAAAGGAAGAAGCACCAAGTCTTAAATAAAGTGCAGTCTGTTTATCTTCCATCAGCGTACCAGTGTTTACTAGCACTTAGGTGGCCTAAAGTGAAGCAGCAGTCATTAAGCACTTACAAATATACACTGCCGCTCCAAAATTCTGTTTAATTTGTGAATCATCTGTTCATAACTGATGTATGGTTTGTGAATAACTTCAATATGCACATCAACACCTGAGGCAGAGGGTGATAAATGGAATCATTGCTGCATAAGGAGCTTGACTCAGACTTCCTCTGTTATTCCAGCCCGCTGCTGTTTCTTTGACTACATAAAGAATGAATGTGGCATTAAGGTGAAGCAATTTCTTTCTGTATTCAGAAATGAAATTTTAGTGTTCTGTTTTCCTAATTCTTTACTAGTTTCTGCAGCCTCGATGATTCATCACTGCACAGTTAGAAATGTGTCACTTTTGATCTCACTTTGTTTTTTAATTTCCCATTACTATTCAGAATGGAGAAACTCCTTTCTCTACCAATGAAACATGATGAGACACATTATTAAGTTCAGACACGTTAAGCCAGTCTGCACCTCTGTGTCAGACAAAACATTCTCATCAGCAGCCACACAGGGAAAACTAATAGATGGTACATGAATGGTACATTGGTACATACTAAGTCGTCTTTCAAAAGTATATGATTATCCTGACACCCACGTTTTTCTCCTTTGTTTTTCCAGGGCAAGAGTGGCGACAAAGTAGGCTTCTTTCCTGCCAACTTTGTGCAGAGGGTCCGGCCGGGGGAGCGAGTGTGGCGGGTCGTCCAGGGCTTTCCAGGAAACCGAGAGAAAGGACACATGGCCGTGAAGGAATCCCAGGTACACTGAGATGATCCAACCTTTTAATGACTTATTCCACTGTGTGTCTTTCTCTCATTTATGTTTATGATTCTCAACCCTCATCCGGTTGGACCCCAGAGTAATACTTATTTTCAAATGTCGCAGATGCCTTTTGATCATTCCAATGTTTCATTACTGTGTTAATCAATTTGTTCCTAATGAGTTTTATGTTTTCTTGGTTTTAGAAATATCACTTTACAAGGCAAAAGCACCCACTTTTCAGCCTATCCAATATTTAAGGGGACCTATCATGCAAAATGCACCTTTTGATGTCTTGCATACATAAATATTGGTCCCCGATGTGGGAACTCACAAAGTGTAAGAAAACAAAACCCTCTCTCTTTCCTCAAATCCGGGGGTACAACGGAGCTGATCCAGATTTGCGTCCGATGTGGCATTAAATCACGGCAGCATTTAGATAGATAGAATCGGAGGGATGAAACCCTACGGCTCACAGTCCAAGCCCCTACTGACTGAGACACTGGTCTCTGCATTTGACCCATCCTAGTGTTAGGAGCTGTGGGCTGCCATTATGCGCCTGGGGAACGATGCCTTGTTCAGGGACACCTCGGTAGCACTTGGTCTTTCCCGGGACTTGAAGTGGTGACCTTCCAGTTGCCAAGCCAAGTCCCTATGGACTTTGCCACCACCCGATAACGGAATACCATTTTTCTGAAAGCAACGATGCCACAGAACAAAGTCATCCACAATTACAAAAATGCGACCACGGCAGGACTCGAACCTGCAATCTTCTGATTCGAAGTCAGACGCCTTATCCATTAGGCCACGCGGCCACGCTATGAATTGTGTCGTCTTCTTTGTTTTTTTTCATCCAAGGACCCAGAATCAGCATTTCTCTAACAGGGCTGAAACAGAGGTATATGAGGGATGTCTAAAATGCATGATCTCTTTGGTATTTATTTTGAGAAACAAACATTATAGAAATGTTTTTTTTCAGATATCTGAGACACATACTATATGCCTAAAAATAGCATAATAGGAGACCTTTAACAAAACAAATAGGATACATAGTTAAAATGAACACCATGGGCCTTGATGTAATACTGTAGTATGGTCATTTTGATTTAGACACACAGAGATTACTTTATGTACTCTGTCTATTTTGGTTCAACCCAATATGCAGATTAACTTTATTAATGTATTAGTTATTTAAAACATATATATGAATTGTTTTTTCATGGCTTAGATAATTACATAACAATGTCATGAGAAAAATAAAACATATTGCTAGTTTTTTTCTTGCAATAGTTTATTCTTGGGGTCCCCCACCCGAGTTCTTGTAATATGTTAGAGGGTCAAGGATCAAATCACTACACTGACACTTTGAAGGAGAATATGTCAGCCTGCGTAGTTGGGATGATCTATTTGTGGTACTCCTTTATCCTGTTCAGAGTTGCAGGGTGCGGGAGCTTATCCCAGAACGCACTGGGTGAGAGGCGCGACACACCCTGATCGGTGTTTGATCAAAAGATTGGCAACAAAATCATTTCTGTCTCTGTGTGTTTATTATGAGGCTTTTTTCCATTATCTTTTACACACTCTCACTCTCAGCATGAAAACACACATATCTTAGTTTTTCATGTCATTTCACAAATCCAAAACAGGTTGTGTGTCCACTATAAGAAAACGCTGTTTACTGTCACCATAGTTTACCATAGTCACCATTTTCCTTAAGCGCAGTTTACAAAATCTTCTTGATAATGAAAAATAACCACAAATGAGTTGTGTCATAATATAGTATATCTAAATTCAAACTGTTAAAAACTAGACAATTTCTTTTGTATTAAAAGTTGATTCTAACAAAGATATACCAAGCATTAATTATTTTTAATACCTGTCTGCCATTGACACTTACTTCAAACTTTTTCCTTCATTCTGATGGCGGTAATGCTACAGGGAAAGATGAAGACACTCCACATCATCTTCTGTCAAGATGGATATTCTTGTGGGCAATTCCCCCAACACAAACCTATATTTTAAAAGTGTTACCTAAAAGAAAGTGTAATGACTCCTTTCTTCCCCCTTCCTTTCAGATCTGTGTGGGGAAGCGGGAAGAAGGCGATGTGTTTCTGAAGCTGAGCAGTGGGAAGAAGAGAGGGCTGGTCCCAGCTGACTCCATAGAGGAGATCTAAGCCTCTGTGCTCCCATCACCATCCTTTCACTTCTACTCCCCCCAGGAGGCTCCCATCTTCAGACTATCAGCATCACCCCTCCTCCCCCTTCCCCGCTGCAGAACAACAGCTGCAGCCTTCTGCAACCAATCCTGCCTGACTTAAACCAAACACACAGATGAACTGGACGGAAAAAAACGAACACTTCTGCAAAGATCCGGGACCACAGCCCTTCATGAGCACACGGTTTCCAATTGATTTGATCTACTGTCTTTCAAGAGTTTTCCGATATGCAGTAGTCCTGTTTTAGAGAGGAACTGTTTTCAGCACTTTTATCTTAACAATACAAGACCAATGTTTAGTTAGATAAAGGTTGAAAGTGAACAGGATTTGAATATGCTTGCCAGATGCCAGTCAATATATTGTTTTCCTCCATTATAAAGATGTCGACCAGCGTGGGAGGAGGTTGAGTCCTGTCATGGGAATATTGTGTCTCTGTCCGAGTCCTTTTCTTGTTTCCTCACCCCCTGTGTGTCTAATCCATATGCTCATGTCAGGGCGTCATAACATTGGACAATTGCCAAGCACAACCACTGCCAGAGAAAACTGCTGCCATGTAGACAGAGAGGAGATTCAGATGAAAGGAGAAGACACAATCTGAAAATCCTCAGCATGTGTGAGTGATAAGTGCACTCGCCAACTTGAGACGGCAGAGACGAGAAGATAATCAAAGGAAAATGTAAGGCTTTGACGATCACAGGGATTATTTTTCATTTGACTTGTTTCAGTATAAAATAACAATGAAAATATAGTATAAAAAGTGCTTAGGCATATTTAAATTCCTGGTTAGAAAGCATAAATCAGCTGGTGAAGCCCATGCTCCACAAGTCAACTTTGGTGAATTTTGCTATCTACTCGACAGCATCTTAAACTTACAGGTATTTCTTGAAAGAATCCTTTGAATTTTCTTCTGAAAAATGGCATGTCCCTACAGGAATACACTTGGGTGTGAAGTATCTTACATTCAAATAGGTCTTAATCTGTCCTCTTTGTGTTTCAGTTAAATATAACAGAGGAGAAATATATTTTTTAATTCTCTCTTAAAAAGCATGGGGGCTGATCACAGAGCAAACGTTTCCGACTGTAGCAGCGGCAGTTCTCCTGTCTTCACATAAAGGAGCTTGACAGACATAAAAGGGTTGGTTTGTTCAGAGACCAGCCAAAGAGCTGCAGTGGGTGTTGCAAATGTTGCACAGCGTTATTACAGGACATCACTGGAGCAGTGGGAAATAAGCCGCGGCCAGAAAAACATCTCAATTGGGATCTCTGTGACCATGACAAGGAGTTTAAGTTTCACTGACAGCTTGGAGGAGGTGCAGTGAGAGGAATGACATCAGCGTTGTGCCATTATGAGTCAGTGTATGCATGCAGGTAGTATTGTAGCCATCAGTCATCATTGATCAAATGACATCTCCATCTTCCCTGTTTGGCCTCGCTCGTCCTTTCTTTATCGATGCGACTGTTCAGTTATGACATAAAGTGATGGCGATTTTCTTCCAATGTATGGAGGTAGACTTTTGATGTTTAGACATCCATCGATTTCTTTTTACCCTTTTTTATTGTTTTCTTCAAAAGAACTACATCTTGTGTCACAAACAGGATGAAAATGTTGGTTTGAAGCATAAAATGCAACAGTAAAATGATGGCATTGAAAATGATTTAAATCGTATGTCTTCTTCCAGAGAACTGAGATCTAGCTTATATCATTTAGTCTACATTTTAATATATGTGAAAGCATTTAGCGACTGTGAGAAATAAGCTACTCTTCTTGTTATAACGAGAATAGAAATGTATTTCCTCCCATCTTTGTAAATTGTGCTTTTTGTGTCTCCTTCATAGCTGTCGTACTCAAATGGTTGTCAAAGCAAAACTGGATTTATGATTTTTACCCATGTTACCACTTTTTGCATTGTGCCTAGCTGTCATTGGTTGGCCACATACCTTAATAAAACATCTTTACAAATGTGTCTCCGTCCCTTACATGGACACTGAATGCTGTTGTTGTAGGGCATTATGATAGCTCGTAGCTTTTGTTGTTTTTCGGCATTTGAAAATAAATGCATGATCTCGAAGATAGCAGCGAGCTCCCGAATTAGGCCGCTGTAATTGAGAGTTTTAGTGCTGTCCATGCATAATGCACCATCCTCCATCCAGTAACACACTGCTGTGCACAGAGGACTGCCAAAAGACTGAGAGCAACATGAATATCACAAAATGGCACTGTGATGGGGGGAGAGAGATTCAGACATTTTAGTTATTTCCTACAAATCTACAGGAAAACAAGATTACTTTTTTTTTTATCAAACAACAAACAGTCAAATCAAGAGCACCAATTGGTTTAAAGGATTTGGGCTTTAGTTGTAGCAAAAAAATAAAATCGAGCCCTTTATTTGTTCACTCACTCAACGGGAAAATGTGTTTGTCTGCACAGCAAGTTAGCTAAACAGTTATAAATGAGCAGCTGAAAACAATTCTCAAGAGTGCATGTTATAAGCCAAGCATCCTGAAGCCAAACATGTCCCGAATTTGTTATTAGCTGTTGTTGAAAGTATACCTATAGGTGTTCCAGGCACGTCCAGCTGAGAGGAGACCAAGGGGCGGACCCAGGACCAGATAGAGGGATTATATCTCCTCGCTGGATAAGCATAGAAGATGGATGGTTAGATGGATAAAAGTATACTTGCAAGGGTTCATTCTGTAGTTGATGTGAACTCAAGCTGTTTTTATGTTTACACCTACTGTACTGTATGTGCAACTGTACAGTAGGCAAGTGACAATTGTGATGTCCCACAAAATGAAAGAGCTTGAACAAGCGTCTCACTTTATTAGAATTTGTGTCTTTTTTCATACTCCACGCACAAGGTGTATCAATGACAGTTCTACTACTTGATGAAGCTCAGCTAACTAACTGCTAATTGCCAGCATGTCATCCTCTCCTTTCAATCTTTATATAGAAAAAATTCTGTTCTTCTTCCTTCTTGATCTGCAAGTAAGATCTGTAGTATTGTAATTTGCATTATAAGTCACATTTTGAGCAGAGCTATAAGGAAAATAACTGTGTATTCAGCTTTAAACGCATTAACGCAATCTTTTTCGGAGCCTTTCGTGTAGTTCTGAAGATTTAGTCCACATTCTAACCTTAAGATGTACTTTCAAACTGAAGTTTCAACATTACAGTGGATTAACACTCGCAATGTTTTTGGCTGAATGTCTGAAGGCCAACTTCATTGACGCATATTTGATCTGTGGTTATTAATTTGGGTTTGTTTAACACCAACTGAAGAATAGCAAGTGTCCTGACAGAAGGGATCTTGGCTCGGGTGATGAAGCAGCTGAGATTCACCACCGGCAGTGCCTGCTATACCTCTATTAACACTTGACAGGGCTTCCCATCTGCTGTAACTCAGACCACAGGGAGCCTTTTGAGGCTGATGAAACTTTGCTAGTTTGGAGGAGCGTTGTTGAACAGTTCCATCTTCTTCTTCCTCTTCTAATCCTCTCAATCCATTGGCCCATCCGTTCCACCCAATCACTCCATGCCTCCTTTTTTCCTCTCATCCTACAGACATTGATGCACATTTGTTAGACTCTCCCCTCTCTTGTACTGTTTTACTTAATCTTACAACTCTGTCTCTCTTTCAGTTCTTTTTTTCCTATCAGTTTCCACCTTCATCACGATTTCTTTCTTGCATCAGTCTGGCTATGAGTTACTCTTGAGATAAGCAGACAAGGGAATTATGCTTATTTCCTATCCCTTTTTTTGATCAGCTCTTGTTTTGACACAGCTTATGATTTAGGTTATTACTGACGGAGGCTCTCTATCTGGTATTGCCTTGGCTGATTCTATTAAAGAGAAATAACTGGGGAAGCTGCTAAAAGTAAAATGCCTATTAATAACGGTTCATTTCTGCTGGCTGCTGTAGCTCAGCTCGGCCATTAGGATTACTCTCTTTGGTAGGAGGAGGGGGATAATTAGGGCCAGGTGTAAATGTGGTTATTTTTTCAATCTGGCCCAGTTTCATATCTCGCTGACCCTGAACACACGCTGTAGGGGTTTGCTCCTGTAAAATAAATGTCCACTACCATTATTCAGAATGTCCCCCGCTGTTATTATTACGTTTCGTGACCTTTTGCTGTGCCTCCAAGCAAGTGTCAGGACTAACAGCCTGTGCCTTGTGCCCTCGGTCCAGGTGAACGGACCCCATCACCTCAATAGATAAGGACAGAGAGAAAGAGAGAGCATCAGCTGCTTCTCTGAACATTGTGTTCCTCGTCTTTTATCGCTCATCCTGGTTCGTTTTTAGTTAACATCAAAACGTTTGCGGTTTATAGAGGTTTGGGTGTGGACCAGAATAACAATATTGGAGACAAGAACAAACCAAGCACTACGGCTAAATAAATACTTCATCTAAAGAATCAGAAAATGGTTCGATCTTTTTATTTTTATTTAAACACTATGATATATAATAGGACCAGGACCCGGTAAGGAACCATAATAATCATACAGTATGTGTGAGATACAGAAATGGACAACATCCAAATGATGCAAAAAACCTAATCCCTCATTAGCACAAATAAAACCAATATGTACAGTTACTAAAAAAGGAAAAGTCACACAGTATAATTACCATTTTGCTTTTCCAAATCCTCTGCGAAATCATTTACTACACACACACACACGCACACACGCACGCACGCACGCACGCACACACACACACACACACACACACACACACACACACACACACACACACAGAGGATCCTCCCTCTTTGGTGTTTCTTTTAATAAGTATGCATTTTCACACTTTTTATTTACGGGGTGGACGCAACGAGGCAAAGCAAATAATGACAATAGCAGCTGTCAGGGAATCCAATTTGAAAAATAATGGCTATTAAATAGTCTTTCTAAAGATAGTCATAATCACAGCTTGCTTGAATACACACTCGACAACACATACATTACCACCCTGTCACGGAGGCTGACAGAATCATAAAGGATTGTCCTTTAGCTGCGAGTACAACCTACCATTACCCTTTGTACTTCACCCACACAGTGAGCAATCAAGCAATAGCAATCAAGCTAACACACACATATACATATACAGAGGGTATGGGCAGACAAAGAGAGAAAAAGACAAAAAGCAATATATAATGCAAATACTAAAGTGTACACATGGCACCAGGGTTGACGGTTATTCTTCTTTTACATCCCCCTATATTGTAGTTACACCCATGTTTCCTCTTCTTGTATAACACAGTAGAGAAACATGTCATGAATGGGAGTCAAATGCCAACACAGGCCTTTTTATTCTGAAAGAAAACTAAGAAAATATACAGACAAGCTATTGGCGGCACATTGTCCCAAGTGAACATATTTGGAGGATAAACTAAAGGCCGCCTGAGCAAGTTTTAGACTGAGATTAAATAGACGATCAACAGTCCTGTTTTTATCTCACTCATTACTTTAAAGTAAAACTTGCTGATGACATGATACCTCTTTGTTTCTAGCAGTGTGCAGGTGTTCATCTAGGAATAAGGAGTGCTGTGTGACAAATGAGCAGAGAGTCAGGGGGGGATTCGACCACTGATAAACAAACACTTTCAATATAAACATCATCACTCAAGTGTCTGGTCAATTGTTCTGGTACTCTCAGTTTTTGTTGTTGTTGTGACAAATGGAAATGTTACCCTCAAAGTCTAGTATCACAAGCACTTAAAAAATAAACACAATGTGGAATTCTAGTAAAATGACAAATCAAAACCAAAGCATCCAACACTCCCTCCAGAACACCTTTTCCAAAATGCATTGATTTATTTTTCTGATAACACTCTTGTTGTTTCCTTTCATTTCTGAGGAGGCTGGCTGTGAATGTGCATTGGCAGCAGAGCATGGTTGCATACGTCAACAATAAATCACGGTGGTAGTAAGAGACAGACCGGTCAGGAGTCAGAAGTCATTTCACGTAAGATGATCGGAAGTGACTGTCAGGTAAGGAGGGAGATAGGCAGGGGAGCTTCACTACCCTTCACCATAAAAAATAATGACAGGAGACGTTGGTGTGATTGTGACTCAGCATGCAGTAATGATGACTGATGCCTCCAACAGGCTGCTGACTCATCAATCTTCCTCAGTGTCTCAATGCTCTGCCAGAGTGCTCTGCCCCTGATCAGCGCTGATTAGAGGTAGACTCACATGGACGCCACACCGCCTGTGAATCAGTGATTGCCCTACATTTGTTTAACACATTCTCCTTCTAATTAGAGTCAACTGTGACCTGCATCCCCTCATGCACACGTACACAAAAAAAACACACTGCAGGATATGACCTATCAATGAAACATGAGCCTCATCCGCCCCACCTAGCATTCTCTCTTTTTCTGACTTTCATGTTGCTCTTCTCTCTCTCTCTCTCTCTCTCTCTCTCCCTCCTCTCTCTCTCTCTCTCTCTCTCTCTCTCTCCCCGAGAGTTAACTGCCAAAGGCATCGCTCATGGCACACAAACCCAGAAACACACACACACACACACACACACACACACACACACACACACACACACACACATACACACACACACACACACAAGCTGTTATAGAGCTCATCAACTCATGCTTCCCTCCACACAGCTGACCTTTACTTGAGACGGTAGAGTTTAAATGAAACTCTAAGCGCTTTGTGGTGAGCAAGACAAAGGAAAAAAGCAGTAGAGTGCTTCTCAGTGCCTGACTTTTTAGTCTTAGTAACAATATCCTTCTCCTGAATACACACAATGCAATGCAAAATTATTGTACCCGAGTATACTGAAAATAAAGATAATTCTGTTTCTTCTGAAAATGAAATCAGTGACATTGTTTAAACTTTAGAGGATAAGTAGGCCTTTTCATTACTATTCTTCTCTAAAAAAAAAATTAAAGACAGGGTCAGGATGATTTACCAAAGGAAATTAAC